TTTACGAGTAAAAGGGAGAATCCTATAACGGTTCTTAGGAGTATTTTTAAAACAATATCTTGAGACTAATTAGACTTAAGACAAAATCCGTAAGAGTATATTAAGAATTTTATTAAACCATTTTTAAATATTTTTTAAGATAATGATAATAAGTGGGATATACATAAAAACTTTACAAAACTAATCAGTTTTAAGAGAATTAAATTTTAAAATGTTTTATCTTTATTCTGTTTTATCATACTCTCTGACAGAATGATTTTGTAAACATGTTGGGAAGACTGCCATATTAGAAATTAATTATTATATAGTGTAAGTTTAATTTGTTTAGTTACACTTGTTATTTCTTTAATTTTCAAACACATACCAAAGTACTGTTAAAAGTGGGCAAAGTGGGTCGTAATAAATGATAGGCCTTACAATATATGAAATATACATGAAAAAGGATTATACGGATTCTAATCTATTTACCGAAAGTTATTTAATAGAAAATAATATTGTAAATATCGAATATATAGCACTATAAAATGATTACATTTGTATTCGATATGTTTTTCATATAAAATATCACATTTTGTATTTTTCAAATTATTTCATGGAAGTGACTATTTAACCGCCAATATAAATCCTATTGTAGATTTGTCTTTGCATGGTTATTTGTCATCGTCAGAAAACCATTTTCAATTGCGCATACTACCTACTGGACTATTAGAAACAAACTTTGTGTTTAATCATAAATTACTTTAGGCGAAGCAAGAGTTGTATAACATTATATCATAGTATATTCCAATATAAATTACATTTACCCTAGTGGAATTAGCTGTAGACATGTTTGACAAATTTGACATTATGTGGTTAAACGCAGTAAACTCAATCATAAATAATAAATTTACTGTCACTGGTACAATGTTGTCATTGACACACTGTTGTCATTGACACACTGTCACTGTCTTTGGTACACAAAATACGTCATTACTAAAATCGAAAGATTTTAGAATTATTTGAACTTTGACCATAATTTATTTGAATATTCTTTAGGTACAGGTCTGGTATACAGGTACTATTTTACATGATATGTGGTTAAACAGCTACTGCCATATTTAAAATGGAGGATTTCCTCATTGTGTTCTATCTATACCTAAAAACGACATTAGCTTATAAAACTAATAAAGCAAAAAAAATACTTTTTAGGACTTTCCAGTTTTAAAAAGCTCCTGCTACACTTTTTAAAGCGTTTCATAAAACAATAGTAAAAACGAAAACCTCAATAAAACATTCATAAGTTCAATCAGACGGGCATAACCTAACCTCACTCTTGAGCTTCTTATTTACTCTACGAACAAGTCATTCAAAATATAAAAATTAGTAATAATATATTAACCATTTTTCTCTTTCACTGATCATTTCCAGAATATTAGGAGCCTAGGAATGTTTTGATATTTGTTAAACAATGGAACACAATGAACTTATTAAACACTGAGGAAAAGGAGAAACATATACATTTTTTTTTTCATTCTCTATGGAAATTACCACTTTTCTTTATTTTCAACGTCAACATAATGTGATTGGGTTGAAAAGCTAGGTTATGCTCTAAAACAAACTTTAATTCTTATTAATACTATGTAGTTTTAAAAGAGCCCTATGGTTTACTAGATTAAATAAATTATAAGAGTTGTGTTGTAAAATTGTAGAAAAAGTACCTAAAAGGTTCTGGGATCAATTTAATTTAAAGTATAATCCTAAAACACTTTTTAAAACTAAGTTTTAAAATCTACTTAAGATAACTGCTAAAAAGTATGCCTCTTTAACACCAAACACACCTTAGGAGTATCTTAAAACTAAATAGTTTTAAAATTACTTATTAATTAACCCTTACAGGACAGCGATAAAGCATAGTTTACTTTGGGATAAACTAGTTTTCTTAAACAGATTTAAAGGAATCTATAAAACCAAGTAATAAGATCAATTTATCCTGCAGTCCTATTAGCAAAAAAAATTGTAATAAAATAATTGTTAATTTTTATGCTTTTACAAAATCCTAATAAAACATAAATAAAACTTTATTCTCTTAAAAATGTTACTTGGGATCCTACTACTATATAAATACGAATTATTGCTCAATCACGTCAGAACGGCTGAACGAATCTAGATGAAGTTTGGCACAGAGTTAGTTATATAGTCTGGAATAGACCATAGGCTACTTAAAGTCATATGGAAGTATCGATTTTTTTTAAAGTTAAGTAGGAACTTGAAAATTGGAATTATAGCTACTCCTCACAAATAAATAATGACGTGTTTCAGGGTTTTTGGATTGTCATAATTTAAGGGAAGAAAGGGGAGGGGAAAGTTTGTATGGGGTATCGATATTTTTAAACATATGATCTTGAAAATTGGAATTGTAGCTACTCATCATAAATAAAGAAATGTTTCAGGGTTTTAAATTTTTTGTCTAAATATGTATACCTACCTACGATTATGTAAATAAAGACCTGTTTATATACAGGCTGTCCAGAGACGGGGAACATTATCTGAATCTGACAAACAAATGAATGTATTTTGTTAAAAATTGCTAAAAGTAGTAAACAGGTTTTTCCATCTAAAATACTTTGAAGTAGATGTAAAATATATTATTTTAAATGGGGTGCGACTTCTTTTATTCCCGATACTGACAGAACATGAAATTTTAGGGTCATTTTGTATAATAAAGTGTTATAGCTAAAATTGGTAATATATGTATGTATAAAATTAAACTTATTTTCAAAGAAAAAAATTTAACATTGCGCGTATTAAAATAATATTTATTTGAGCTCAAATTTGAAAGTAATTGAATTATGATGAAGAAATTAGTATTATCCTTTATTGTACAGGGTGAGAAAAAAATGTTTACATTTTGATTTAACAAAACATCAATATCTTTAATTTTATAATTTGATACTTTATGTTTTATTATTTTTATTCTATTATATTTTACGACCAAAATAAGTAGAATTCATGTCAATTTTTCTATACTTAACTTGAAGATTACCTTCCAGTACTGTCAAAATATCGACTTTAAAATATTTGATTTGAATTAAATTGATCGAAAACTGTGCATAAATTGATTTGGGATATTCATGTTGTTTCTAGTATGCAGTATCAAACTTTTATACGGACCTAAAAGACCCTGTTAAGCGGGCTTAAAACATACAAAATATGTGCTATGAAGAAACAAAAATTTTCAAGAAAATATAGCAGAAGTATTTAATTTTGTATCTTGATAGATGCAGATTCCTTCTTCGAATAATTGAAAATTAAAACGCATTGCATTAAATTTACTTGTAGCAAATATAGCTAAATCGAAACCATCTAAGACGTCAGATCACAGGCAAAATCCCGTAATTCAAATTTTGTCATATCTATTGATTCTGAAAAATTTGAAATAAAATGGGAGGTTGAAATATTAAAAACTCAGAAACAAAATAAGATATCAAATTGAAATCTTCAGAAAAAATTAAGCTTTATAAAAAAAATAAAATTGTAGGGAAGGGGGTTTAAAATATTTAAAAAAATTCTAACTCAAATACAAAGAATAATATCGACTTAAAATGTTTAGCAAAAATCAAGCTCTATAAGGAGACAAAGACTATTGATTTAAAAAAAAATGTGAACAAAATGGGGGGTTAAGGGGGGTTTAAATAAAAAAAAAATAGAAATCAAACACCAAAAGCGATATCAAAATGAAATGTTTAGTAAAAAATCAAGCTCTATAAAAGAATGAGGCCTTTTCATTAAAAAGGGGGAATAAGGGATGTTAAAATATAGAACAAAAATACTAACTAACGGAATAAAAAAGATATCAAATTAAAATTTTAGAAAAAATCAAGCTTTATAAGGGGATGAAGCATATTGATTCTGAAAAAAAATTTCTAATTGAAAATGGGGGTTAAGGGGGTGTCTGTTAAACTGTGAAGCGTATAATATAGAATGCTAAGCAATATATATATTAATTCTAGTTTTAATATTGAAAACCGTCCATGAAGTGTGGCTAGGAGTTAAAAAGACGTCTTAAGAAACGGAGTTGTTTTAAAGTACTCGAAAAATAACTTTAGACTATTGGTATCTAAACCACATGTTATCATTGACTTACCTAGAAATTTTCTTTAAAACTGAACATATTTACAGGTTTTCTATGGGGTTACAACCCCTACAACTAACAAGAAAATAATGAAACACATCAAACTTGCAAAATATTGTTTAGTTTTCTTGAAAACACAATTATATTTTGTATGTAATATATTCACGTGACATAGTGGCAAGATACAAAGTTAAAACGATTTTTAAGAATTTTCTTTTAACGATTTTGTAAAAGAAAAATTGCGAAATTGTCCAGATAAACAGCTTTTGAGATATGACCAGACGCGCCGCCCTTAACAATGACTTTTAGAACCATGTTGGCTTGAACTTTTTTATATAGAAATACATCTAAAAATGTATGACTGCTAACCTGAAACATCTTGTATGTATTCTATCAACATAAAACTTGAGACGGTCCTGTCCAAGTAGCCACCGTTATGCGCCTGCGCTCCGACACACTATTTGCTTCTTATAGTTTCACTTTTGATGTATGGAATTGGCTTTCTATACTATTTTTGTGGCCTTAACTAGTTTTTTCTTATTTTTTAATTTTTTTCTTTTTTTATATTTAATAACAAAGGAAATGTTAATTTTTATTTTAAAAAGCAGACCTGTTTTAATGAAACGGTATTTTAACGAGTCGTGCATTGTAAGAAGAATAGGCATATAATAATTAATTTTTTTAAAAGAAATATGTACTGTATATTTGGTTTTAAAAAGTGCTTGTAAGTTAAAAAATAAGTCAAATAGGCTAGCATACAAAGGTAATTTTTTGTTATCATAAATGTACAATGTATTGACATTTTTATTGATACTCATCCTCTTTAGAAAGAAAAGCATGTGGCAAATCATTATAAAGATAATAATATATGTGATTGTGTTTTTTGCAGGAGCGTGCCGAGAGTCTTGGGGGCCCACTCGCATGATTTTTCTTGGGGCCCCCACACAGACTAAAAAATAAGTAAACAGAAAATATGGCTCGTTGGAGAATAAATGAAATGATTTTACGTTAGAAAAAACCAATGCGTCCGATGGTTGCAAAAATGCGAAATCTGTAACATTTTTTACTGACATAAGTAGAAAAATATATTTTGTGAGAATACCCTGATTAATTTGGGAGCCTCCGAATAACCGGGGACCCTCCCGCACCGCGGTCCCTGCGGGCACGTCAATAAAAAAAATGTATTAAAGACCATAACAGAAAATATGGCTCGTTGGAGTATAAATTAAATGATTTTACATTAAAAAAACAATGCATCCGATGATTGCAAAAATTGCGAAATCTGTAACATTTTTTACTGACATGTGAAAAATGTATATTGTGTGAGGATACCCTGATTAATCGGTCCCTGCGGGTCCGTCAGGGACGCCACTGGTTTTTTGAAACTAGCAAGTAAGTTGGAATATGTTATTTATTTACTAATTTTTTAACTAAATCTTGTGGAAAAGTTTGATATTATCCTTGTAAGATAAATTAAAAATATGTATTAACAAAATTTGTAGGGTTGTTTGAGGGCCACATTTTAAAATTACATAGAGGTATACAGAGTCTTGAGTCACCCTGTTTACTAATAAGCATAGAATAAAAATATTACTAAAAAAAAGTAATACTTGATATTACAAAACTCGTGTAGGTGAAAAAACTATTTTTCCACAGTATGCAATTGACTACAGCGAGTTTAGTTTTGATTTACTTACAATTTTCATATAAAAATCCCAATATCTTTTAGAGTACTTACCTTATATAACCTAGGGAAACCATATATTAAAAGAATAGAAAAAATAAGAGTAATCTTAATCTAAATTGATAAACTGGCGTTCTGGTTAAAAAAAAAACATGTTTGGTTCGTACCTGATTCATGCAACACCCGTATATCTATGTAATTATAAAATATGGCCCTCAAGTCACCCTATACATTTTGTTAATACATGTTTTTAATATCTTTTATAACAAGGAGGCTATCAAACTTTTCCACAAGATTGCTACGCCCTGCATAAAATGATTTTCCATAAAAAATGGATTATTAACGATTTCCCTATTAAAAAGAATAATGTAAAATTAAATTTACTTCACGTGAATATCTACAAAATGGGCTGATTTAAGGTGTCAAAGAGAAACTACATACAGTTTACTGTTTCATAGTTAAATGTCATATATTAACTGTTAATAATGGACACCCAGGCGATTTCCAATGATCTATGGTCTTTAACCGAAATTTATTTATTACCTAGTCATACCTTTGAAATCACTATGTAATCTTTTGCATTTTTGTTTGGCGAGTTATCTTTCAATAAATGCTAGTATTGTAACCAAAATTAAAATTTCAGCACACAGAACTCACATAATTGTTATGCAATTCTTAGATTGTCGTCCTTATACACGATGTCACAAGGATGGCTTAAACAAATGTTTCTAAAGTAGGCCTTGAAAAAAGTGTCACGGACATTACTACTTGTCTTGTGGTTTAGCAAAGCAAAAAGAATCGAGTATTTTTTAAATGTGACTTTGTGAGGGCTTTACTTTTTATTGTCAATGTTATAGATGGACTGAAGCTATAGAATGCTCAAATAAAATTACAAGATAGCTAGATTGGATTCTATTATAATCAACAAAATTAAGTAGTAATGAGATTACAATTGAATTAAGTTTTAAATTTCGTATTGATATTTAATTGCATTTTGCAGTTGTAATTTGGTTTTGCGGATTTAATATATTAATGCAAGGTTGCAGTTTATGCTTAATACATTTCCTAGATAATATAATTCGAGATAATAATAGTCCCTTTATTTTTACATAAACTTAAATATGTAAAAGTTAGATTCGTACCTTAAGTTGTAAAAAAAATGTCCAGAGTCTTAAGAAAAAAGATTAGCAAAAACGATAAAGTAAGGTAACTGCACCAATAATTGACACTATTAGACGCTGATTTGTATTAAATACTTAATTATTTTCACCAATAACAAAAAAATTTAAGCATATAATACGATTTTTTCTTGTAGTTTATAGTTTCTTGAGTTCATTAGTTATGTATTTTTAGTTCTAATAATTTTGCTTTTCATGAAATAAATATTATAAAAAAGTGTTTTGAAGTACCAGTCATTGACACTTGATTTTTTCCATGTACCAGTAATTGACACACCAATTATTGACACAAGGAACATTTTTTTATTATACTTTTAATTTTGAATACACTAAGTAAATAAAAATAAACAGCAAATTCATAACACAAAAAATGAAAATTTATGGGTGCTTTAGGCTTCAAAAATATCAATATTTTTTGAAAATACATATTTTATTCTGTCGCCGACATTGTGTAGTTCCGGTTGGGATAACTTTTTTATGATATCCTCTATCTTGATTGTTGAAATATCACTATCAACAAGTTTGAAGGTATTCGTTTCATTTGTTGATTTAAGGGATATAACTTCAATATCGTTTCGGGAATATTTTTTCTGAACCACACAGATATAGTAGTCTATTCTGTATCATGCAGTTGCTAGCTAGCAAGTGGCTCAGACCAAGGTCAGTCGTTATGTTACCACTTTGAAAAAATCGGAATTCTCTAAAGTAAAATCTATAACAACTAGTGGTTATAAAAGTGGATTTCGAGTGACTTAGAAGCAGTCAAATATTTTTGGTGCTTAAAGCATAACAACTACTTGCTGAGAAAGAAATATAGGCCCTTGGATAATAAATATTTAAATATATCTAGAAATTAATAGGAGATATGTTTATTGATAAGATAATCGGTACTTCTATCTAATTTTTTGTAATGATTTGTTTTAAAAATAAAGTAGGACTTCAGCACAGCTTACTATTTACTGCTTGTAATCTGTATCTGTAAGAGGTGTGTCCCCTTACATTAGTTAGGCCCTAATAGCCTCATTATGCATCCTTCACATGCTGCCTTTCAGGTGAGATTTATATAGGGATGACTACCTCTCAGATCGTCAAAAGACCTGCAGATCTACTCGAGATAAAATTGCATAATACATTTATTTGCTGTATTAAGTTTTTTTAATTTCAAGCCAGTCCAACAAAATGTAACCATTTCCAAATTATAAAATTACACTTCACTTGACGTCCCGGCACTTCCGACTCGAAGGTTAAGTTGTTAAAAGCCTGATCTACACCATACTTACAAGTTGTATTATTTTTATAGCAACCGTATAACAACTTTGACAAAAGTAGCTATTCTAGTATTCACGGTTGCTATAAAGTTTTATGTGTGGTGTAAACCAGGCTTTTAACAACTTAACCTTGAAGTCAGGAGAGACAGGACCAATGAGGTTTATTTCTTCCCGTCATTGATGTTACGTGAAATATAATTTATCATTTGAGACTGATTTGAAATTAAAAAAAAGTCATAAATATGTCGTAGGTGTAAACTTTCATCAAGACAGTAAAATTTAAATGTGCAATTTTATCGCAAGGAGACATGCAGGCCTTTTGATGATCTAAGAGGTGGTTCCTATAGACAGCTCTCAGTGACGTTAGGGCCGATTCCACCGTTGTGTTAAACGGAGATTAAAATGACATTGTTAATGTAAAAATGTCATTTCAAACTTCGTTTAACACAACGGTGGAATCGGTCCTTATAATATCAACCAGCAGACATTTTGGAGAGCTGAGAGACAGGTCTTAAATTCCCGTGAAGGATGCACAATGGGCCTATTGGGGCCTAAGTGACATGGAGGGTCACTCATCCTTACATATACAGTTCGCAAGGAGTAAAAAAGCCTTTGCTGAAATCTTACTTCACTCCTAAATCAAACTATTAGAGAAAATAATATATCTATTTACTTCTGAGATATCTATTATTCTATCAGTAAATATACCTTTCATTAATTTCTTGGTCTATTAAAATATTTATTATCCAGGGTCCATAATATTTCTTTCTTAGTAACTAGTTGTTAGGCTAAACCATCAAGAATATTTGGTTGCTTCCAAATAACTCTGAATCCACTTTTGTAACCACTAGTTGTTACAGATTTTACTTAGAGAATCCTAATTTTCTCAAAATGGTAATACAACAACGTGACCTTGATCATAACAACTTGGTCGGTAGCATAACTGTATGATACAGCATAGACTAATTTAGAAATCGTGAATTCTAGAATAGCTACTTTTGTCAAAGTTGTTATATACAGTTGCTATGAAAGTGGTAAGATAGCGAGTGGTTAGAACGTTGCCAGATAACAACTATAGTTACAGAATTGACCCCATAACTATAAAAAAAAATTTTCTCTTTCCTCCTAAGAATTTCGCTAAAATAAAATCTACATGGATATCGTCCTATTTGATTGGTATTTCGTTCTCTTCTTCATTTTCTAAATTGATACTGACATCATCAATACTGTCTCCACTTTCTATCCATTCTTCGTTTTCGGATGAATTGTCAGAACTTTCCCTCTTTACTGACTTAGCCTTGTTTTGTATTTTTATAATTTTTTCTTCCCTTTTTCGCTTTCTCTCTTCTGCCCGTTTTTGTTGTTCTTCTTGTTTTCTCTTTTTCTCAGGATCCTTTTTTATGTGGTATTTTTGCCAAATTTCTGACGTAATAGCACAAGGAATTTGCTCTTTATTTTTTTTTTGTTTTTTACTTTTTCCGGCCAAAACAAGGCTTTTTTAAGTGGAGTGGGAACTTATTTCTTTAAAGATCAATACATTGAACGGCGTTGTATTTTCGAATGAATTTAAAGGAGATCTATCACTTTGTGATACAGTAGGAAGTGTAATATTGACATCAGAATGTATAACAATTTTTAATGGGGTCATATCAGAATCAACTCTTTGTTGTTGAAGGCCAGAAGGTCCTTGTCTCGAGTTGTCTAATATGTTTTCTACAAGATCATTTTCTTTCTTGTTGCAATTTTGGTTCTCAATTTATTTGTTTTCTAATGGTTCAACACCTAAAGCGGATTCTATTTTATTTTTTTTTTTTTATTGTGTTCCATACATTAAATAGTGACACGTCTTCCATATTACCTGTCCATGCAGTATCAAAATTTGTTCGAAAGTTTTTTAATTTTTCTGAGGGATAACATTTTTCCAAAACTGCCAACCCTTCTATTATCCTGTTTTGATTAACTTCTGTCGACGGGTTTGAAATTTTTGAAAATTTTACATTTTCTACATTAAACGGCGAAAGTCCACATGCCCTAAATCCAAGTTGAATTGTTTTATCTGTAACGTTGGATAACGCTTCCTCAAACACTTTTCCGAAATTTTCTTTTCGCAATATTTTTCCGTGATTTTCGATGTGCCAATCTCTTACAGATTTTTTCCAAAATTGTTTTAGCGGCTTAAATACAGCCACATCCATAGGTTGAATTAAATGTGTAGAGTTTGGATACAATGCAAAAAGTTCTATTTCGTTTTTTGAACAAAACTTTGATAGGTGTAATGTCATGTGCGACACATGACCGTCAATAAACATAATAATAGGTCTCTCAATTTTTTTCTCATCTAGCCATGGTACAAACACATTTGTTATATTTTCAAAAAAAGTTGCTCCACACATCCATCCACTTTCGGAACGGCCTATTCCCCAACTTTTATTGATACTGGCAGCTACATGACTTGGAATGCGTTCATATTTAAACACCACCATGGGAGGAGCTAGTGTCCCAGCGGCATTGGCGGTGACTAATACAGTTAAATTTTCTTTCTCGTCGTTGGTTCCAGCATTGTATACACTTTTATCCCCTTTTCGTGCAAGGACTTTATCACCTTTTGGTTGAAGAAAAAAAGCACTCTCATCAGAGTTGAATACTCTGGAAGGATCCTCCGTTGCGACAAATACATTTTTTGACTGCAAGTATTTTTTCACTTCCCAAAACCATTGTCGCAATTGTTGTTCAGTAACTTTTTCGCGGGCTGGTGTTAAATTTTATGCAACTCTTTCGCTTAAATTTGGATGCCTTTTCAAAAACGACTCGTACCATTTTCGACCTGGTCTCGAATCAGTGAAAGGGTATGGTCGTTTACTTTCTTTAACGATAAACTGGACACTGTCTAGTAATTGCTCTTTGCCTACTGGATGGTGCACTTTTGCTAGAGAAAGTATCCACTGTTCGACAAGAGTTTCTTCATTGATTGTGAGGATGGTACTTGGTCCCATTCGGCAATGTATAGGTAGCTTTCCTGTTGATTTATAAAGTAACGTTGTTCGTGGAACAAAGTAAGTTTTAGCAGCTGTAGCTACTGGCATCCCTCTTGCTATAGCAGCAAGAGCTTCATCCAACTGAGCCTCTGTATAATTTTTTTTAGGTGCCATAACTAATAAAAAACGTGTTCCAGTTATTGACACTTCTACCAATAATTGACACCCCTGTCAATGACTGGAACCAAAAGGCTGTTAGATCTCATATTTAAATGGTATTTTGCAGACTTTTTAGACAGTATGACAACAGTGTATATCAGTATTTGCTTGTGGACCAGTGATTGACGGGGTATGTCAATAACTGTAACATACTGGTTTTGTTTGTTCCAATTATTGACACTTTAACAAAAATGCGGTTTTAGGATTTAAATGCATAAAAACCAGTAAAAACCCATCAGCGTTGTTTAATACACCCCCAGGAATAGTTTAAATAAATTTAACATGAAGTGATAAGAAGTAGATATATTCAATTTGGTATACTGACCTTATGACATGTCTTAACATAAACACTCTATCACTGCACGTGCTCTTTTCACCATTTTGTAACTGACCGTGGTGCCACCTAACATCTGTTACGTAGGCTACACGGTTGCCAAATATTCTAAAAATACCGATGTTTAAGATAAATTTCTCATATATAGTCTAATATTCTTATTTTTGAAGAATAATTGAGCAAGTGTCAATTACTGGAACACTGTCAATTATTGGTGCACTTACCTTACCCTGTATTTTGGATATGGTACCTGAAACTAAGTAATCTCGAGTTATTTGGAATCGCCTAGGTGTCCGCGTATCGCTCAAATCGCTGTTTTCTGGGGTTCACTTATAAGATGGGTAATTAAAGGGAGATTACAATACGTATGTACATTTATCTATGAAAAACCCTGTATAATTTAAAGAAAAGCCATTGTACAATATTTGTAGGTTACTCTAAGGGGTATTTTTAGCTTTGAAGAATATTTTTAATTCTTTACTTTTGGAAATCTTCAAAGGTGTAAAAAAAACTTCAATTAGAATCTGCAAATATTTTGTATACCATTAAATACAATTTTTTTCTGAAAATTTATTGGTATTGCTCCAGGCGAGCGTTTTGCATATATTTTCAATTCACTAAAGTCCGTATTAAATTTATAGATCGAGACAAAAGTGATTCGATCTTATAAAATACATTTTTTTTGTCTATAAATACGGATCCACTAAACATTCTAGTAGCTGAAAATGATTTTGATTCTTTACACCTTCGTTTTCCAAAATTTTCGTACAATCCGACAACTTTCACTTTGGTAAATCGAGCGAATCGAGATTTTTACTGTTTTGTTTTACTAATGACTACCCAGGGGTTCGCTAATTTATTCCAATTTTTATAAGAGGATAGCAAATAAAAAATATTTTTTTATGAAGAAAAAAATTTTACTTCTATGATATTTTATGTTAAAATCAAAATTAAGAACCTTTTAAGTTTACTGGTTGTTTTCGTTTTTGATTGAACTCAAATTCCGATGCAAAGGTCATACGATTTCTTTACATAGATTTATTTAAAACATTTTTTTAACTAGTTAATGACTGCAAAAAAAAATAAGTTTCTTAGAATAATAATATAAAGAATCCATTAAAATCATTTTCAGCTACAGTCCGGTCAATGTATTTTTTAAGTAAGTTTGTAGGGGTAAATCACTCACCTACTCCTATAATGTATTAGTTCATAATATATTTTTTGGGTTACTTTATTTTATAATACAACTTTTTAGGCGGAATTTATGCCAGGAATTTTTTCGTTATTATTTAGAAATTAGATTATCAAAAGTACATAGTTGTAATCTTAAACTATGAAATTGCAAATGTTTACATTTTCTTTAGTTATAACTTGTACGTCAATTGCAAGAAATATTGTTAATCATTATTTGTTAACAAAATTTCGTGCAATTGAAAAAAATATAAGTAGCAAAACTGTGATTATTTTTACTTTATTCAATTATTTTCAACCTTATCTCATAGCATAGGCGTAACCAGGTTGACCGTATATGGGAGGTGATTACGACAACCGGGTAGGTCTGAGGGATATGGAATAGCCCCCAGGGAGAAGGGGGGGGGGGGCGATCCGAGGTGATTAATTATCTATTTATAAAAGTTAAATGTTGATTGATAATATGTTAAAATTGACAGTCAGAATTTTCTATTTAAGAAAAACTTTAGTTTAGTGCAAGGAAAAAAAGGACATCTGGCAATTAAAATTATTTATTTAAAAGAAATTTTCAACATTATTGGCAAACAAATACTTTTAATAGTGGTATGGTAGTTCACTGGCTTAAAACAAAGGATAGTTGTTCTTGAAAGTAATCTGAATATCAACCGGCAAGACGTTTCAGCTAGATGATTCAGCACTTCATCTGAAGAGATAATTATTTCTTTGTGGACGTTCAGCATTGTTAAACCCTTTAATCTCTGTTGTCCTGTTACGTTCCTCAAATAGTTTTTTAACCTCCGAAGAGTTGAAAATTTCCTTTCACTGGTACTTGTTAAAACAGGAAGTGTTACCAGGATTTTTAACAACTTGTGTATCGAAGGGAATATTTCCTTGTTACAAGCAGTGAAATAAGCAAAAACTTTCTGTGATATTTTCAGTTCTTTTACTCTTTTTTTATTACAGGCAGAGTTCACCAACCGCTGACTTTTCTAGTTTGCAAATCTTGCTCGTAAAATGGATCAGTTTCTTTAGCTGGCCCTCTTGTACTTCTGTTACGGGTTCAGAGTCTGGCATAATATACATGAAGCTGCTAAACAACTTTTCTAGTTTTAGGAACCTTGTTTTTGAGTTCAGTTCCAAAATGATCCAAAAACGGAAATAAGATGGAAACTCTAAAGTAAGCCTCAGTAGAATCTACATTTATATTACATTTGACAGAGTCTCGGTTTCTTGAAATCCGAACCAAACAGTTCACCCATCTCTTTTGCTCTGATCTCTTGAATTTTGTCCTTAAGTCGGTTTACTATCTTCATGGCAGCTAGTAAATCAATGTCTTCAAGCATAGAGGAAGGCGCAGCGAGAATACTTTTACCAACACCTGTAAGCTGATGAGAAACGACGAATTTACAATGGCACAATGAAGTTGGGCTGCTGATGAATGTCGTGTCAGCATCTTCCTACATTGAAATTTGTTATAAAGCATGATGGATACCTGGTAACATTTCCTCAAGAAGAAGAATTGAGTCATGACGTTCTACCCGACGTGTAGGGCACAATTGTTTTAATCTAGTGGATTTAGATTAAGGACTTTTTTTTTCAATTGTCCTGTTTTAAGACTTCAGTTCTTTTAGGAGTGTTAAAAAATGTGTAAAGTTTAGTGGACGACAGTTTCTTATGTCTGCTTCAAGAACTGCTTTATAGCCAGGTTTAAACTGGGAGATGTTTCCTGCACACATGCTTGTGCTCCATTGAATTTACCACTCATTGATCGTCGTAGCCTTGTCCCAGCAAATACTGGGTTTTGACATCAAACTGCTCAAGTGATTGTAATATAACCTTAGCTGATTCATTCCCAATCACATCGTAAACAGGTACAAACTGCAAAAAAGCCTTCTCTGATTTTGTTGACATATACATCAACTGATAACTGTTCTACAGGGTTGAAATGTCCGTCGTTTCATCTGCAAGAACAGAAAAACACTGCGCCAAAGTTACCATACCTACTACTTTTCTTAACATATCATTAGAAGCATTTATGATTTCATTTTGCGTTTTTGGAGCTAGGAAGAGAGTAGTCCCTAAATGATTCTTCAGATACGCATCTCCAGAATTATATCGAAATTGCAAAAGTGCATGAAAATTTCCCTCATTTTCTGTTGGCTCTTCTTCTAAATCAAGATTCCCCCAATCCCTATGGGCTCAGAGAGCGATACCCTGTCGACCACAAAACAACTGTCTCGATGATGGGTACTGAGTTTCTGTTCTCTAATATTTGCTTTTGTAGGGCAGAGTATTGGTGTTGTTCAACTGTTGGTTGTTTTTACAAATCAATAGATAAAAATGAATATATCTTAAAATATTTAAGTGCTAAAAAATTTAGATACTTAAAAAAGATTATTACATACTTATGATTAGTTAAAAACATAATGTGCACATGTAAAATTTTAAATAAATATATATATATAAGCACGTTTTTTAAAAAATATAAAATAAATGATTAAAAGATGGTTAGTTGGGAGTGATTCAACTACTCATTTATATCAAATAAAGTCAGCAATATATTGATAATTTATTGTAGCTTGAGCTTGACATTTTCATAGGTGTTGAAAACAAGTTATTCTTGGGAGAGCGTATTTGAACATGAATATAGAGCACAATTTTATTTTTTTACAATGGGGGGGGGGGGGGAGTCATAGCCCTTTCTTGGTTACGCCTATGTCTCGTATAATAAATTGTTGGTAACTTTAGGTGGATTTGCCGAAAGGAAGTTAACACCTTTGTCTTAGAGTGCTAACTAAACAAATATCTCAATATTTCAAATTTTTAATTTATAAGCCATAAATATGTTTTACTTAAAATGTTAAGCTAATGAAATATTAATTCTGAAGGGCTAAAAAATGGTTTGAATCATACAGAAAAAAATTACGTTTCATTCTTAAGGGACTATAGTAATGGGATAAGACAAAAATCATATTTTTTTTGTAACTTGCATTATTAGTATTTTTAATATTAAGAAAACTGTCAGATTACAAAGTTTTTACTTCGTACTATTAGTTTTAAAGACTGTAATATTATTTAAACAGTTTTAATTGTTATTTTATGTATATACATAATTGTTAATTTGTAATGTGTTATTCACACAAATTAATATAAACTTTTGTAAATATTAAATTAATTTTACATTTTTAGGTGTGCAATTTACTTTTTGTATTAATTAATACAAATAAAAAATATATTTATACCAAAGTAATTTTTTTTATTTTTCCTTTTGAGGTTACAAATATTTTTGGACACCCTTTAAATAAGAACTTTTTACATAACATTTTTAATTTTTATTTAAATTTAATTCTGCAATATATGGAGTTAATACATTAAAGTTTTTTTCGTATTCACTGTTTTTACTATTTTCCCAAGATTGCATTTGCTTTAAAATCATTTCACAATCAAATTCGGCTAATACTTTAAGACTCCTAGTAGCAGCATCCTAAAACAAATTATTAGAATCTAATACGCATTTAAATTTAAAAAAGTATACCTGCAATGGAACTGGTTGTTTATCACTTAGGTACAAGCAGATACAATTAAAAACTTTATTCATATTTGTGTCGTCTATATCTAAATTGACTACAACCATTGCGAGGTTATCCAGAATTCTAATTTGGAGCTTATATGCCTGCGAATACCTGTATGCAGAACCTTTATCCTTCAAGTAACTCTGTTTCAATAATGTTTCCATTAATTCTAATATATTAGGAAGAACTTCCCTACAAAAAATAAAAAAACATCAACTACTTCTAATTCTTAACAGTTTCGTTTTAAGATTAGAATAACATAAAAAATGTGATTATTTCGAGGTTTTGGCGCTTTTTAAATACTGCCAATTACGTACTGATATCAGTTTTTTTGTAGTAACCAGTTTTTATTGATCTTAAGGTAAACATGTTAGTGTATCTGTAAGTTAAATCTCACTAGGCCCATTGTGTATCCTGCAGGGGTATATAGAATCTGTTTCTCAACTCGGCAAAAGCCTGCTGGTTATTGCCGAGAGGTGTCAAAAACCATTTATATACATCCAGTATATCGCAAATATTATAATTCATTTTTTTTCACCAACAAGCAATCGTTATCAGACGATGCTGCGTCACTAAACAGTGCCGGTGTTATTTCCAATGTTGAAATAATTTTTTGCTTAATTAGTTTTAATTTTCACAAACATATTACGTTTAGCGTTGGTCTCACAGGTAATTTTAATCAGTCTTAAAATACAGATATAGGTAGGTATATAAATACAGTTCAAGGAAAGGTATTGTTGAATGTATTTTCAACAGATGTCCATATCATATTTTTTGATCAATCCAATGTGGTCGACAGTAATTGGTTGCATTATTTCTTATTCGAGCAGGTTGACAAAATGTGCCATTCCACTAAAAAATTGTATAGCTCTTTTTTGTAGAAACAATAAAAAAACAGTATTGAATAACTCACAACTACAACCTCTCCAAAATGCAATTCCATATAACTTAAATGGGTCTCAACTAGACGTAATATACTTTTAGCTGGTTTAAAATCTATCTCTTTTGCCACAGTTAACTGCAAAACATCCAGAAGAAAATTTTTTGTTTAGCAATTCTATATGATTCTCACATTTCTAATAATTGTCTAAATTAATGCACATAAGTTTTGTTTTCTATTAATTTATTTAACCACGGCCTATTTCTAATTACGAAGTTTAAACATCGATGGTGGTGAGCACGCTACTCCCAAATAGCAGAAATTTTGCCGAATCCATGAACTCGGGACAGACAGCTTTATATCTTCTCCGAATGCTATACCTCGTACTCATACTTATATAGCGCCTGCTAGCTGTGGTATATGCAACTACGCGGACAATTTTTGCTTTTATAGGTACGCCGTTTTTCCTTGGATAGTCATACAAACAATTACTAACTACGTACGACCCTGCTTGACTGCAGATATCGATACACAATAGTAAACTGGCTAGCCCGGCTGCTGCCCCAGAAGTTTTATTATATCAGTGTTATGACTTTCTATAAGGGTAAGTATTTTTTTTTCTTTTTATATTTAGACAAAAAATAGTTGCGAGTCGCGCCATGCTTTGATTTTCTTAATGTTACAAGATATTCTATTATAAAGAACCCAGGGGTCATTGCTTTGACATAAAATCGTAGTGTCATCACCAAATACAGTGAAAATACTTGCAATCTTAAGTTTATGTAAAGAAGGAATAAAATGTAACTCGATACAGAACCCTGAGTGACTCCCAACTTTTATCTAAAACTTGAGAGTCCTTAATAGTTCTTACAATTTGCTTAGTTTCCGAAAGTTTTTGCAACAATACTGTATGATTGACACAATCAAACGTATGCTAGTTCAAGATAAAATATCGTAATAAAAAAAAAGTAGGCGGCGGAGAAGGCGATCCAGTCCTGATAATTGATATAGGCAACCAATAATGCATATGTGTAATTTTCCATGGATTTTCTCCAAAAACTGGTGGTGGCGTAACGGCTGTAAGTGTTCTAGTTGTCTATTTTTTAGGACTTACTTCGACTTTCTCCAGCGATTTTATAGGGCATTAGATGAACCTATAGGTACTCTATTTTTTTAGTGTGTCAATTATCAACTGCGAAGTAAAAAATAAAAAAAAAAACTTGGAAAACATGAATATGTCTAAATTCATATTTACATATAACGCGGATTAACAGCATTTGCATTATTTTAAAGTACAACACAGCTCTGAACTAATCACATGTTTAATGTTATTTCAAACATTGAAACAAAACTGTTTAAAAATCATTGGTTTCGTGTTTTGAAGTAAACCAATCACATGATGTAAAATTACTTACTTTACGGTTCTCATTCTAATAAACTCTTTTGCTAGTCTAGCTAAAGTCACCAAAAGTTGAAAACTATAATTTATTATCAAAGGATCATTGTATTCCTTGAAACGATGTACCAAAGGTGACCAAATTAGATGAACAATTGGTAAAAGCTCGTTTTCCCAATCTCTAATCACTTCCAGACCATCTGAGAGGATTTCTAATACCAACAATTTCCGTAATCTGTCTTTGGATGGCAGGAAATGTAAACTACGTATTAATATGTCTACTGTAAGCTTGACTTCTAAAGGAGGATCCGGTTTTATATATTCGTCAACTAAAACTTTAAATGTTAAAACAGTACACATACTATATATATAGAGAAATTTTAAGTGTAATGAATTTAATAAAAGAAAAACTAAACATGGTAGATTTTTACAAAAACTTCTTGAAACAGTTGAAGAAGTTGTACTTCAAACATTTGAAGAAGTTGTAATTCAAAACAATTGACGTGTAATTTTTAATTTTAAAATAAAAGTATTTGTGAAATATACCAATGTATTTTAATAATATGGATTTTCACCAAGTAAAGGCCGAAACTATCAAGAATGTAATGAATTTTTGTACCAACGGAATTTCTGTTTTTTTTTTCGTTTGTTTAAAATATACTGCATCAGAAATAAAATATTTATCATAATATGTAAAAGTTTCGTTTATGAAATACATACAGGGTGTTAAACAAAAAAATTGGGTATTTTATAAATATCATTAATATCCTTAAACTGATTTGGTTTAAATTTGGTACAATTATTTGAAGTAATAAGGCGCTTATTTAGCCCTAACTAGATTGAAATTATTGGGTCCAATGGCGACTCAGTGGGCACGACAGCTAATATTATTAAGAAAAAAGTACGCAACTGACTTCTTTGTAGTTTTTGTATTTTTAAGCAACTAAAATACAACTTTTTGGTCTCCTGTGTTTTCTTTTATCTAACTTCGTTTTCGAGAAAAAAAAAACTACCTCATTATAAAAACTATCTATCCATGGACGACATAAAATGAAAGCCAAAAATTAACAATTTCGATCTTAATGTAAATGAGGAAAATGACCACCTTGTGATAAAATACATGACTGCAATCGATTTGTTATCGATTGTCTGACATGTTCAAAAATACCTGGAGTATTTTTTATGACATTGCGATTGTCAATTATCGATTCCTCAAGTCATTCACATCTAGTGCAGGAGTTTTATAAACAAGAGCTGACCAATTTTGAGGTCCTGTACGTCCAATCCAGCAATTAGAGTAGGTGATGTTGAGATGCTGACTAGCTAAAATGACTAAAATGAGCTGCAGCCCCGTCGTGCATAAACCACATATTGGCTCTTACATGTAAGGGTACAAACATTCAGCGAACATTATTACTGAAAACGACTTTCTCTAACAACGTGGGGATTTTCATCGGCCCAAAAATGGTCATTCTGAAAATTCATAATAGCATCTCGTGAAAAATTTGTCTCGCCCGAAAATAAAATATTTGGTAAAAAATTAAAATTGTGTGTCATCGTATGAATCACCACAGGAGATTTCTTGTTAGAACTTTCCAAACGGTTTTTGGGCTGACTTCAAACTGCAATGCAATCTTTCTAAGGATCTTCTTCTATTGCATGAAGTATAGCTTCTTCTAGTAAGATGCACACATTAAAAAAACGTTGCAAAAAATCTGTCATTACTGGTTAGTCTATAATTTGTTTATTAAAATGCAAAAAATCGAATTTTGCCCTTCATTACCTTCAGGTTCTTCATTCTCCTCATTTTCAAACTCTTCTCCTTTTTTTCTATCTTCTTCATATAATTCTTCTGCTGTTTTTCCCGTATCGATATCGTCAGTTATTTCATCTGCACCAGTTACTTTAAAGTCTTCATATTCTTTAATTTTTTGGGCCCTGGACTTAAATGGTTCTTCTTTAATTTCAATATTTAGCCATCTTTTAAGAGATTTGACAAACATTTTGAAAACTTCTAGAAAGGCGTTGGTGTTTTTTTCTTTGTATTTATCACATGATTGAACAAGAACCTCAAAAAGTAATTTTTATGTATTTTGTGGGATATATTTGAAAATACATACTTCTCGAATGGTGTACGCCAAGTATTGCAACACATCCATACTACTGTATCTAAGAACAACGGACAGTACTGATAAAACATTTGTTTTATCATCAGATCTATTTAGTTTCCGTTCTACATGGTAAGTAAAATAATCAATATTTTTGGTGATTAGATCCGTCACATCTGAATAACCACAGGCTACAGTTACGTTTGTTAAAGTTGAAAGACCTGCTGATCGTATTAGATAGTGACTGCTTCCTAAAAATAATTGAAATATTTAATAAAAATCCTTACTTAATCCATAATAAAAAAAAAAACAATTTTCAGCTAATTTTCGATCAATATAAATATGCAGGGTATCCCAGAACATGTGGGCAATCTTCCGGATTCAGATAGAAGACATAAAGATAACATAAGTTCCTATAATTTTGCTCTATATTATATATACACTTACCTGCTTTTTCTAATACAATATATAGAATTTTTAGCATAAATTGTTGGAAGTGATCTCTAAGAATTAATGCAATCTTTCCAATTCCTTCAACTAACAAACATATTTGTACAGTATTGTGTTGAACTTCTGCCAAAGTTAATTCACAATCATCTCCATCTACTGATACTACTGGAATTTGCCAGTAACGAGTGTCTATATAAGTGTCAATAATATTTTTTATTATATCTGTGTTAACTTTCTCCGAATTTACACCTAAAATAAATAAGTAAAAAAGTTAATTCACTTTTATAAAAAAAAAAAAAAAATATGAATTATATTACCTGCGATAACTCCATTCAATACAAAAATAGCTTCTTTTCTATGACCCTGGTCGTCCATAATTATATCGAGTAAAAAATCACTGACCATTCTAAAAGAATCGAATTTTCCTAATAGGCTACATAATTTTTCCAATTTCATTCTAACTAAATCCCCGTTAAAATAGACGAATTTTTTCCATGGATGATTAGAATTTGTATTTTGATTTAAGTCTAAAATTTTACACTACAATAATTAAAGAGTAATCTAAAGTAAGCCATGGCTGATAAAGACAGATATACGAGTCAGGTCTGTGATAATTTCAGACGGCTCTGAATTAAGTCCAAACTGACACTTAAGAAGAATTGAACGATCAGATATACGTGACTTTTTTCAGAAGGACTACTTTAGAAACATTTTTTGTGAATCATTCGATATATACTTTCTTTCGAAAAAAACTACCAAACATCAATTAAATGGAGAAGCCATGTTTCTATATAACCCATATTAGCCATGGGATATTGATTGATAGTTGAACCAGTTTGGTTTTTCTCGGACCTTGATAAGGTTCTGTAAGTCATATCTTCTGGAAAGACAGCAATTTGTTTTTCATAACGGTTATTCTTCACAAGTGTACTTCCCAAAATCAAGTGTCTCTCAAAGTTCAAATCTTGTACCGTTGCTATTTTTGTTATTTATTAATGATCTCAATCACTATTTAAATTCTTATAGACTTATTTATGCAGAAACTATAAAATATACCTTTTAGTACTAGGCATGTATGACTGTTTAGCGCTTCAGCAGGACCTGAACAGATTATCAGATTGGTGCATACAAAATAGGTTAATGCTAAATGCATCTAAGTGTAAAGTGATGTTATACACCAGAAAAAGATCTATATATTTCTATTATAATATTAATGGTTTAGTTTTGTCACATTGTTTGTTTATTTATTGAGTTTTGTTGAGCATATTAATATGAAGATTTCTGATGCAAATAAAATGTATGGTTTTGTTATACGAAACTGTCGTGAATTCAAGGACATTGGAGCATTAAAAAAATTATACTTTTCATACATCTGCACTAAACTTGAGTACTTTTTAACTATCTGGTATCCCTACTATATTATTCACATGACTAGTGCTGAATATGTTCAAAGGAAGTTTTTGAAATATTTAGCATTCAAAGTAAAGGTGTCAACCATACGAGAAGAATCGGTTATCAGCTACTTTTGGATAGTTTTAACATCGAAAGTCTTGCATTTCGGAGAAGTCTAGCTTCATTGACTTGTTTATGTAAAATCACGAATGGATTAATTGACTGTCCTGCTATTTTAGCTAAAATTAATTTAATGTTATAATAACAGACATCATTTAACTTTTTACTGTAATAGATCTAGAACAAATAATCTATTATGTGTAATAATTTTAACTTACATTATAATTCTTCAGATATCTTCACAGTCTGGAAAGTATTAAAGAAATTGCTTGTACCAATTTCATGACAATGCTTAAAAATGTATCTTTTTTGTATCCTTTTTTGTTATATTTTATATTGTTTTTGATAATATACATACAGGGTTGGGCAAAATTGGTGGAACACCCGATTTGTGGTTCAATTATGAATTGTTTTGAAAATTATCCCGAATAATAAAGTTTTTTGTGAATTTTATGTACTATTTAATGACGCTTGGAGATTTTCATCTAACATATTTATCAAGATATGACGTCATCGGATAAAATTTTAAATGAATCACCCTATATATTTTTTTATTTAATAAAAAATAATTACTTTACATCACTACACTTAAATTTAAAATTTGCACTTATACGGATCATTTTAGAAAAATTACGAGTTTATATAGAACAAAAATTATGGAGAATAACATCACAAAGAAACTTTTATTTTAAGAATTTTCTTCTCCAAGCGTAAATAACAGATATATCCGATAACGTAGAAAAACGATCCTCTATAAAGTACCCCCAGATGTTCCGACTATGCCCAAATTCTAATCAGCTCTCCACAGGATGGATTAAAGCTTAAGTTTAAAATTTAATGTTTTTCTGTTTATCCGTTCATGAGTTATCGAGTATAAAGACACATACAGACATCATCACGAAAATGGTCAAGACGGGTTCAGGGGACCCCAAAACGTAAAAATTCGTCGAAAAAACTCATGATTCCTATACTTTCCTTATCTGCATACAGACAGGAAAATAAAAAGAATACTAAAAATCAAAGTAGTTTTCATACTAAATACCTTTTAAAGAATATTCTTCTAATAATCCAGTTGTACTCTTTTCTAGTTTGGATATATGGATAATGGTCATCAATAAACTGCTTAGATGACTCGAACATACCAAAACTTGATATAATTTGTGTTCTCCAAATAATTTCAAATATCCTATAAGCAGATTTAAAGATGTCAGTTGTTCCCTTTCATCTGCAAAAAAATATACAATGTTTACTCTTTTGTAGATTTTTCCGTCTAAATTTATAAAACAGTCTTAGTGTCTATTTGTACATTTGAAACTTTTGGTAAATCACAATCGAGGAAGTCTGCAGTTGAAAAAGATTACTGGATATGGAGCAGCAGATTCTCAAGGACAGATAACCTGAAGACGATAAATAATTGCTGTTAAGGTTAATACAGATTTGGGGACACCTTGGGTAATCTTAACATTAAGCAGGTTAGTGATAGGGGACGCGCTAGACACGAGACAGATGACATAACCAAACGTTATTCATCCACTATCGAAAGGCCAAGAGTAGGCTGTTATCTTTTAATCGTCACATTCATTCTACCTTCAATTACAGCAAAAGGCCAGCAATATCCCAACAATTTATTGTTTATTGGGTGCAGTCAAGAATGACTGTTTATAAGACTATTATTCAACCACATTTTAAACATTGTTCTATTCTGTTGTACACATCTGATTTAAATAAAATGGGAATCCTACAAAAACTGCAGAATCGCGACCCAGATGGATCTATTGTGACTAAAGTCTCTTTGTACTTAAAATTAAATATGAAACCTATGGTGAAAATTGTAACTGAGTTTACCAATTCCATTAAATTTCCTAGGAAGAGCATTTACACCATTAAAAAACCCATCTTCTAAACTTTCAAGCAATGTTTTTAAGTTATGAGAAGACAATTGATTGGATAAATTTTGCAATATTACATTATTTCTATTTGATATGTCTGAATCTTCATCTTCTGTTAGTATTATTACAATTTCTATCAAATGACGGGATGTCAGAGGCATAGTTCTGAAAAAAAAATACAGTAGCTATACGTATTATAAACTCATTTATTAATAAAATTTACCCTAAACAATTTTCAAGAATAACTGCACAGAGCTCTGTTAATTCAGAACGGACTTTATGGTGGGAATGATGTGTTAATTTCATAATTTCCAGAACCAAATGTTGTAATTTTTTGTCTGTGTCTTTATACCACTGTGAAGAAAGTTTTGTATTATGTAAATGTTCGTTAATTTCTTTATTATTTGACCATTTCTTTTTGGTAGTTTTTTCTTTTTCAGAGTTATATCGAATGTTTATTTCTGAAATATTTAATATTGTAACAGAAGAGTTGTAGTCTTGCATTAGGAGAGTCACAATTCTACCCCATGCTTTTAGAGCCACCTAAAATATAAGAAAATATTAAAAAAATATATTAAATACAAAATATCAAATATTTAAATGATAAAAAAACAAGTGTTCATTTACTCAAATGCGGTTTTCTAAAATATGGATTAAAAGTACATACCGATTTTACTAAATAAAATTACTAATTTTAAGTGTGCAAGACTACTAAAATTTGTCCATAGTACAAAGAAAAAATATGCTGTTGTTATTCACCGTTAACTATCTTTAGAATATATATAATAAATATTGTAAAAATAAATTAAATATAAAAACAAGGACAGTTATTAGTTTTTATTATAATTACCATAGGAATTTTGTGTCCAACTTTCTCATCTTCTAAAGCAATTTGCTTTAAACCACTAGCAACTCCTGGAAGAAAGAACAAAAATACTTCTGCCACTTGTTTTCTAATGACTATGTCTTTAAAATCTTCATCACGAAATATTCTGGCTAGGCACATTATACATTCTATTGCAGCTATCCTAAAAACGAATTTTTAAAGGGAAGAGACATTAAATATTACATTGAAAGACATTTACAAAGTATCCATCCTTAGGGAGCTGAGCAGTGAAAGTGTTAAACAGATGACATTTTCTCACCTTAAGTTTTTTAATTGTTCATTTTTGGCAATTTCTATTGATGCATACAGCATCTGGCAAAGTTTTGGAGCATTAGCTTTGGTGTACAATTCAAAAATAAGTTCAGAAGACACTGATTTAGTTAAAGATTTTGTACATTCTATTATACTAAGTTTATACTCTTCCTGAACTGGTAAAACTGAAAATTATATTAATTAATTTTAAAATCAATTAAAACTAAGCTTTACCTTTGTGTTCTATGTGGTCATATACTTCAAATAGGAGAAAGGCATACATGTTAAAAAACAGTCCCAATTTATCGATCGTAGACTTTTCAAACAATGTTTGAAAAGTATTAATGATTATATGCTTTTCATTTAAGCTGAAACTAATTTTATATATTGAATAAAACAGAAAATGTACAAGCAGGGCATTAATGTTATACTATAACTTGGGCAAGTACACTTATATTATGACAAAAATATAAAGGCAACAATTTAAAATTACCTTGTTTTATTTTCAGAAATACTCCTCAAAACAGGATAAAAAGTGGATAGTACTGTTGGCTGTATTACTTTGACAAAAGAATTTGGTGAATCTTGAATTAAAACATTTAGTTTTTTCACACTTTCAATATCCTTCGGACTTTGAATTAATTTTCTACATAATTTCTTCAATTCAGAGAATGTTTCAAAGTTTGGCAAATTTACATCCATTTTAAATAGGCCGCCTTTATGTAAAATGTCAATAACCTGTTGTTAAGGTTATGTTTGTATTCTTTAGATGTTTGGACAGACTGAAAGTTTTTGTGTCAATTTGTGTAGTTTTTGTACAATATAATATGATGATAAAAGGTAAGAAAATGCAACTAAAAATTAATGATTAGTCGATTAGCCACTTATTACTAATATTTATTTGCTGATTTCTAAATAAACACTTTCATACATTATAGATATTTAGTTAAGATCATTGCAGATGTAGAATATACACTGTTACTACCCCTTTTTTAGGTATATATAATTATCAGACAATCACTTGAATCTGTATCTCAAAATAAATATTCTTTCTTTAAATAATTTCAATCAAAATCAAAACTTTTTGGTATCTGTCAAATCTGTCAATATCTTCTTCTTCACTTCTTCTCTTTTGTAACAGATGTGTCCGTGTTTACGTAAATACAGAAACATATGTAATATCACAAGTAGGTCTGAAAATATCGTTCCATCTATACAATTTGTATAAATGGAACGATATTTTCAGAAGTGGTGTAGCGGTGCAGCTCAGTGCTACACTTTCGATGCAAAGGAAAAGACCTATAATCCATAACTATCAATAAATAAAAAATAAGTAGGTTGTTATAGGTATAAAACCATATTTCTTATATTCTTTAACAACAATTACACAACTGATAGCATTAACATGTAACGTCTATCATAAAACTGAAGTCAGGATCATCCTTATATAGCTTTCTCGAACTGTCGTCTAGAATCACATACTTTGATTTTGTTTTACTCACATACTTTGATTTTCTTTTACTATACGGAGAATGGTCGCACTGCGCAGCTTTCTGAGTGCCTTTTAAAAGGAGATAGAAAACTCCGCCATTTTGAACCCTTATTACGTGTTGCCTATATCTTGGCGCAATATTTTTAATAGGTGCGTTTGAATCATCGGCGTCTGCTTCGGAATTGTCGGTTTTCTTGTTTTAATCTGACAGGTTAAAACGACTAAACCGACAATTCCGGAAGCAGAAGCGGATGATTAAAACGCACCTGATATTTTGCTTGCTGCTGTCAGTGTCAGTGAATATTATTTTTGAAGTCACAGTTTATTGCTAAAGAATTAGTTAGCTCACTCGGGCCAGTTGAAAGTTCCAAAATAACATCCACTCCAGGAATACAAATTCAGGATACGCAGAATACTGCTGTTTGATTATAGGCGGTTGTCATATATTGTATTATCCGAGTTGCACAGTGTATAAACTGAAACATTGAGATCAAAAGGGCAGACGCAGAGTGAGCGATCTGATTCTTTAGCTGTAAACTGTGTCACAGGGTTCAAAATGACCGCGCCCTATGTTGGGCGTGTCGGACCTCTCTCTTGCCTCGTATAGTAATCAAAGTATGTGTCTAGAATATTCTTAACGGGTAATGACATTTCCAGACATTTCTGGACTATTCTATCTTCTTTTACTTGTACTTGTACTTTTACTTATGACGACCGCAGCACACTGTAGGGCGATGAGTTACATTCCACTTCTTTTTCTATTTGTACGTTTCCTGTAACACCTGCAGGCTACTGCAGGGTGCTGCGTAACAATATTCTACTTAGGCCCGTATTTATAAACAAAACTCAGCTGAGTCGGACTTGGGTAAGTCGTCCTTGAACTTAAATCGAAGTTCGGTTATATCGCGTGAATTTAGAGATGGGTAGTAACAAATCCGTAAATGAACATAACCACAAAGCACATAGAGGTTCCACGTGAATGACCAAGGTCAAAACCGACAATTGACATTTTTTATGCTATTTGCTCCAAACTCTAGATGGGGCTACTGGTAAAATTCTGATTTCTTACTCCATTTTTAAGCTTTATGGGAGAAAAACTTAACCAGAGACTCCAAAGATGTGACGTGTATTTATTTATGTTTTTGGTTAATCTCATTTTTCCGTCTGATTTTAGTGATTTTTTGTTGGCTTTGGCTTTTGGTTTCTGTTTATAGTTTCGTCTTAGTTATAACCTATTGTGTTTTGCAATAATTTTGGTGCTACCTGTGGGTGCTACGTTGAAAACTTCGAGAAAAACTTCATTGATTCACCATGCATCTGCATCATAAAAAGAAACGGGTATAACAACTAATTGATAATCAATTTATCACTGGACTAGATTCCGAAATCATTTTTCACATAAGAGAGTAATACACAAAGCAGTGGAGTAATACCACCATCTGTATTTGGAAGGAAAATACCTATTTATCATTGAATGAATAGTTAAAAGGATTCACCTTTTAATACAATACCTATATTACATTTGTCCTCGGTTTAAAAGACATTTATAAAATATATTATTTTAGTGTTAATAAAATGTAATATCCTAGTCTCTACTTCACATTTAAATTATTGATAGGTATTTTAAAGATTTGAGATTATATACCTATTTGCTGCAAGTAAGTATTCGTTAAATATGTATTATTATTTGTATTTATTTTTATCTAATAATATTATTTAAGTTATTAATAAACATATTTTAAGAATGTTCTATTTTATTGTTTATTGATATATCTTATATTTATTTAATAATAATATGCAGAACCAACTCTTCACATCAGACCCCTGCTTATAACAAATTAATTCCTCAAATTTGGTATAATCGACCTAAATTATTTTGTAAAATAAAAGTTTCGAACTTACTAGTTCCATTCTTTATTTTATAAAATACTTTATGTGGAAATCATTTAAAATTTAATTTAAAACTACTACCTACTCCTAAAAATTACAATTTGAATTTACCGCCATCTGTCAATTGTCATTTTAGTTCCAGCTCCAAACACAAGGTGGCGCCAATTTGGTTTAAAAGTTTAACATTGGCGTGGGGTCTCTAGAAGATACGTGCTTTGTGAACATAACAGTTACAGATTTGGTAATAGCCATCTCTAAATTCCAGTGTAACACCGGAACCACCTCGAACTATAGAGACGTTGTAACCGAACTTCGATTTTAGTTCAAGGACGACTTACCCAAGTCCGACTCACGTAAGTTCTGTTTATAAATAAGGGCATTAGGTTCGTACATTAGTTTTAAAAAAATCTAATATGTATATTTTATTGTTATTTAGTGGTGTTAATATTTTTATTTTTGGAATATTTTCTATGTTAAAGTTTTTATAATATCGGTAGTTTGATTTTTTGAAAGACGAGCTACAAAAAGCAAGGTAAAATTATGTAACGATTTTCATAAAATTTCAAATGTATTATTTTTTATTTGAATTATAAAGAGAAATATTATTGTGGGAATGGTTTAATATAAATATTTGTGGTTAGGGTACGGCCTCTGAGGCTGAATTCGGACCACACTTTGTTTATATCCTGAAATATTTTGAAATTTTGGCAAGTCTGCAACGAGTTTTAGTTTTTCTATAGCTTTCGAAAAATCGCAAAAGATAGCTTCTAACATTGTGACGAAGTCACTATATTTTAATTTGAATTAATTATAAAAATGTAAATTTTAATTAATTTCCATGGAGTTACGCTTTAAAGATCTCCCTTATGTTGAATTCCCTAGTCATTGCCGGTTCTAAACGGCTGAGCGAGCCCCGGTAGCTTAAAATATTCTCATTTGTACTGTAAAATCATATTAAAGATCGAATTTCATGCAAATTTATCTAAATTATTTGCGAAGGTGTGCGAGGGTCATTTTTTGTTGTCATCAGTAGTAAATAGTCCGAAAACTGGTGGTGGCTTCTCCCACTCCGAACTGGTGGAGGTGGAGCGCCTTGATTTAAGCTAATGTAGGCTTTTTCCAAAAGAGAATATAGCACCCATGGTGTTCTTTGATGCTTGGAACCCGAACTGGTAAGTAGATAAAATGTTTAGTAACAAATTCACAGAGCACTTAGTTTTTTTTTAGTTTTTTTTTTTTTTTTTTAAAAACAACCATACTATAATTTTAGGCTCTTAAAATATTATAAAACTTTTGGAAAATTTGTATTTTTAAATGTGGGTGATTTGCTAGCTTCGAACGAAGTCAGCAGAGCACCTCGCGTTTTTTATTTATTTTTTTTTAAATACTACCACACTTCATTTTTAGGCTATCGTCAGGCTTTTGAAATATTATAAAACTTTTCTAAAAAATTAGAATTTTTTAAATAATGTAAGGTGCATTGCTAGAACGAAGCCAACATATAACTTTTTAAGAGTTTTTTTTCAAAAAACAAATTATTCACATTTTTAGGCTATTTTTATGCTCTTGAAATATGAAACATTCCGAAAAAAATTTCGATTTAAAAAACGAATATTTTTTGGAATGTTTTATAATATTTCAAAAGTCTAAAAATAGCCTTAAAATGCGGCACGATTTGTTTCCAGAAAAAAAATTTAAAGTCAGCAAAGCATCTCGTATTTTTCTAAAAAATGGCAAATTTTTCGAAAAGTTTTATAATAGCCTAAAAATAGCCTAAAAATAAGGTGAGGTTGTTTTTAGAAAAAACAAAATTAAAAATCGAGGTGTTTTGCTGGCTTTGTTCGAAGCTAGCAGAGCACTTTGATTTTTGTAAAAAACAAGGAGCATTACATTTTTGAATAGGGCATAAAAATAGCCTTAAACTTGCCTAAAAATATGGTAGCAACTCAAATTTTCTTAGGTGCTCTTCATTGGCATATTTGAGAATGATACAGATCCCAAATAAAATTCACATAATTTAGGTAGGTTAGTAATGATTTCAAAATTGTTTAAAAATACAGACATAATAGCTTTGTTCGCGGTAAGAATGCTGAACCGAATTATTACTAACTGAAACGATTTCGCAGGCGCAGTAATTAAAAAGCGTTCGCGTAACAAAAAGAACTACTGGTTCTATCCTGCGTTCGCGGTAAAATTATTATTGATTTTGAACCACTTGTCTATACCTGAAACACCGAGATATAATAGGGATTGCGCGCGCGGTAAAAATTCAGAATTGATAATGATTCGGGCATGCGCTCAAAGTATGAATTAGTAATTCTGAATCAGTTCAGGATTGTTACCGCGAACGAAGCTATAAAACCTAACGAATAGTGATGATAAAACTGGTTCATTTTATACAGAGTGTTTTGAGACATGTCATTAAATATGGCTCATTTTAAAAAATTCAGTTAACTCTTTTTTTTTTCAAATGCAATACCCTGTATTATTTAAGCATTAAATTCATTATGAATTTACCTCTACAACGATACCAATATAATTTTTAAGAAAATTTTTAAACTAAAAGTTGTTTGCGATATCGATCTTTATAATTTTTGTTTCATACATGATTTCTTTAAAATAGACCGTAATGGAAAAATTTAAGGAAAAGTGTAAAATTTTAATTTTTCAGTATTTTCGTTGACAATGAATAAATATAAAAAATGTTTCGCCTAAGATGTATGTGGAATATTTATATATTTAGTTAGTTCATCCTCTGAACATTTACAGGGTGATACAATAGGTTGTACAAAATAACCGGAAAAGCCTGTAATAACTAGACAGGAAAATCATGTGTTGAACACATCAGATTTTTTATTTTGTTTGGCATTCCCTATACCCAAATATATTTTTCTCAATAGTTTGATTGTTTTATTATAAAAATTAACATTATTCTAATTCTAATTGGCTTTAGAAACGTTGGTCAGTTACAAAACTACAAATAGGTAGGTCTAATTGATTTTCATAATTCTTCAAATAAAACAATCCTATTTTCAACTTAACTCTGAAAATAAAAAATGTTTATGTCCTTATTATCATTAGTAGCGATATGTTGCAGAGTTTAAAACATCTAGATAGCTACTGGTAAAGCTGAAGGACTGTTACAGAGAGGCGTCTTGAATTAATTACGAATTAAACAGCAAACTTTATGACAATTAAAAGAAAAACAGTTAATTTTTGCGTTAATCCAGTTATCAGAAATAATTAATAGTTTTCTGTTCTCCCTACGTCACAAGTATTATAAACCATTATTAATAAACTAAAAAATACGTTTCGGTATAAGGAATTAAAAAAAAAAATAAATTAAAGAAATTAATTAATTCATTAATTAATTGATTGGTGCTATCCCATACAGGGTATTCCATTTAAAAAATTGAGAAAATCGTAACCTCGCGTTTTGACATCCCTATATACAACGCAGCAAATGAATGAAAACTGTTAAAATTGTTGGACGATGTGAAAACAATCAAATATGTGTAACTACTTACAGGATGTTTTGCGTTAAAAAAGTAAAAGTTTGAAGTTTTATCAGCCCCATGTTTATGGACCACCTTGTATATATAAGAATAATTGTTAAATATGGTCATACAACTTGTATATTAAAAATGTCTCGTATTTCCAATAATAAAACGGCTATCAATCAGTTAGACACTTATAACACACCCTGTATTATGTATAATTGGCTAACATGTTGTTATCGTTGGATAGGTAAATTTATAAAGAATTTTAAGCTAAAATAATATACGGGATGTTGCATTTGAAAAAATTAAAGAAATTGAACTTAAAAGTAGGCATATTTAAGACATGTTTCATTTCGAAACACTCTGTGTTTTAAACCATTTTACTACTTAAATTATGATAATTTAATTCGGGGTCTGCATTATTCTCCAATTTCACAAAAAGATAATTGCTTGGCAACTGTTCCAAAACTGAAATAAAATATAGGGTATTCCATTTAAAAGATTACATTTTTTTTGCTAGGAAAAAGTGTATATTCAAAAATATTTTTAAAATATGCCTTTTTCAGACCCAAAATACTTTTATTTGAAACTTGTTTGCATGTCTAACACAAACTGAAATATGGAGCAATACGCACTTAATGTATCTATATCTAATAATGATGGAGATATTGAACTTTTTCACACTAATGGATGCCCCTGTAGATATGAATTATATTTTTAATGCTTACATTTGAACAAATAAAGTAAAAATGTATTTTTTTGTATTTTTAACCTTTTTTTAATCTATTAATGCCAAATATTTAACTATTGATAGCATTAGCTTATTATTCATAAAAACAATAAATAATTTTAACATTGCATTTATTTCGAAATAAATATTATATTTATTTTATAAAGCAGTTCAATATACAAACATGATATAAAAGTACCAATATAACGTGGTAGATAAAAAATAACATTTAAAGAAAATAATTATGGACATTAAGAAGTCGATACATTTGTACCTACGTGGTTCATCTACAGTTAATGTAACGTACTAGTATTTTTTATGCGAACTCATTGAAACATAAAAAAATTAAAACAAAATGAGAATTTATAATAAATTTGTACAATATATGTAACAACAAACACGTCTTCGAGAATGAGATTAAACCTATTTATAAAATATTTTTATAATGTTGTTTAAACATACACTGCATACATTGTGACATACGAAAAATAAATATAGAGTTTCTTCATTAATAATTATTTAATTGTTTTTATCACATCAGGCTTATATCTCTCTCCTATTGAGAAAAAAGGAAGTGATTCTTTATCGCACCGCTGTCGTCATTGGCCTTGGAAAACTATCTTGTTGCTTCCTAACAAACCCCAAAACATTTTTAAAGGGCAATTGCATATGATAGTACGCGCAATAAGGCAGAGGATCCCACATAGCAAACAGAGCCTCCCGTCTGTCTAAAACTGTTCCTATCAGCCTCGTTACAGATTCAATAGATGGATTACTCACAGTATGCATTACAGTGGGTGGCATCTTGTAAACACCGTTGCCATTTATTAGTGGCCCGGAATTTTGTCTGCTAAAATGCCGACATGGCTTCCAAACGAGTCTAGGATGAACGTTTGTGTAGCAAATATACGGTAAAGATACTCCCACGCGACTACTTAAAGGTATAACACTACCAGATTCTTTACAAAGAACGAATCTAAAACTAATATGCCCCGATATGGGTCTTAATAAGTTAATTTTATTAAAAAAATTAGTAAGCCACTGGTTAATATCTTTGTTCTCCTCCGGAACTAGTTCATTATTATTTTTGTTCATCTTACACGTCACGTTAGCTATTACCTGTGATTCTTTAACAGTGGTGCAAGTTAAGTAGTGATTACCTTCTAAATTCTGCACTACAACCCACGGCTTTTGCTCACTTATATCATTGGGGATCTTCAAATCGCTTCTGCACAACGGAAGTAAAATTTTAGAACGTTCGCGTAAACCTCTTGGTCCAGCTGTAGACATAACATACAGTCCTCTTCGGATCGCTCCGGTATCGTACAATTTATAAACATCATCTTTTGAAGTTATTACATGGTATAGTGGTGTAGTTATTTGATTCTTTTGGCAGCGTTTTAAGACTTCTAGAGTGTCATCTAGAACCCAAACTTCTCTAATTCCAGGACAAAAACAGCTACACCCCAAAAGTTCTAAATGTGGTTTGGCTACGGCATCGTAGTATGCTGGAGTTGTTGCTGCAACGGGAATAAAGTAGACAACCTGTTCTTTATCGACGATTTCACATAGAGCTCGCACGTAGTTTTGTTGCTTATCGCTGGTTGGTCTGGGAACAGTGTAGAATTTGCTTACAGCCGTGGAATACTTCGCAAGAGCAAAAAGGCCTTCTACTTCGCAAACAACAACTCTTGCTCCAGCTGAGTAAAAATTTCTTGCTAAATGAAGTGCTTGTATTGTACTTCCACCACTTATCAGTACCGTTCTCTTTTTACTATTCTTAGATGTGTTCGGAGATAATAGTATGGATAGACAAATTTTGATAATAGTCAACGGTAGCTGCATCAATTGCGTAAAACACCATAACCACATCGATATCCATAGCATGGGAAGAGCGAAAATCAATTGCCGCCAAGCTTGTGGTAGAACAGCTATAAATATCGCTTTCACTAAGCGTAGAAGAAAACACGGATACCATCCAATTAGTTTCGAAAGCAAATTGTATAAAAAATCATCTTCGTCTTCTTCGTGAAAACTTAAAGTAGGACTTTGACTTCTGGAGTCCCTCATATCTGATCTAATAACGAATGGTTCTTGTATTACACTTCCCAAGCTGGATGCTCTTCGAAATCTCTTTCTAAGGGTATTATCAGGCGAAGAAGAGATTGGAGAAAAAGAAGTTGGAGATGATGAAGGGCTTTGTATGCCGGAACCGCTTGAAGAACTCCCGGCATGAATACTCTCATTGCTCGGCCATGACACTCGAGACAAACTTTCAGACAGCACAAACGGCATTGTACGCGCGTATTAACAATTTGAGATAATTAACACCGCGTTCACGCACTTCAAACTTTTCAAGTATATAACGACAGCTCAGTAAATTGAATAACCGGCACGTATTACCATCCGGCGATCTTATACACTGTAAAAGTGTACTCTGCCCTAGCCGAGTACCCCTTCTCTCGTTACATTTACACTAGCGGCAACATGATGTGTTGAGGTAGTCTTTTGTGGGGACACTTCGCTTATCTCAAATTAAATAAATGTTCTTATGATGATATAAATTGGTTTATAGAAGCGCCGAGTTATATTATCGTAATTTGATAAATGTTGTTTTTACCTTCAGGTTTGAAGCTTCAGATAAATAAATTATTGATCATTTGAGTTTGTTCAAATTAGAAAAATTAATTATACAATGTGTTCCATAAAGTTGGATCCATATGGGATTTTTTTAATATTACGATTGGAAAAAACGTCGTGAGCATTCACCTCTGCTTTTTTAAAAACTTAAAATAGTCCATATTAAAGTTTGCCTATGTACTGCTCGAAGCGCACGTTTTTTCCTACAATTCACAAAAAAAGTTCTGCATCGCTTATAAATTCGTGATAAAACATATTTTGAAAAATACAGGTGGTACAGAAAAATAGATATAGATTTTTTTTGAAAGTGATAATCAAGACCGTAATAATACTCATTTATAGATTCCCAAGTGATAAACAATATATTTTTTCTACGATCGTGCAAAAAGTGACTATTTTTTACTCTATATACAGTTCATCAAATTTCTAGAGGTGTTCGACGCCCAGACAGAGAACGCGCTACGTGTGACTAAGATAGCTATTGTACAGTCTGCTAAACAAGTTATTTTAAATAGTTTTTAATATTTTTAGGTAATTAAATTTTAAAAGTGTGGAATAGTTTAGGGATTAAATTGGTCTGATTGGACTTTCTTAGAACGTTTTTAAAAGCAGCTAAAGATAGTATGTAGAATTGAAAATAATTATTATGCCATAAAAGGTGTTTTGGAATTCCTTCAACCTTTTGAAATTGATAGGATAGCGGAAAATACCTATAATTTTTTTGTAGGCCTTTGTAAATCGTGGAAATAGTTTATATTTTATTTCTACCTTATTAAGGAAAATGGTACCTATTATTAATAACGGTTGTTTCTGAAACATTACTAAAATTTTCGAAATTTTGTTTTTCTACAAAATAATAAACTATACTATTTAGAAAAAAATTTATTTCTCTTATAATTTTATAAAAAATAACAGGGGAATATTTACATTTCTTGATCTATTAAACAAAACGATAAATTATCTCGACGAATGACACCATGTTCTAGTACGGAAGCTAGCTTTACATTTTTGTTGGTGGTTTCATGGGTTTCATATCAATTTTTTGTAATTGTAGTTTACACGTACATATACCTCTTAACACTTGTTTGCTTTATTAAAAAAGTGTGTTGTTGTGATTTACGTCGAAATAAGTCAAAAACAACTTGAAACCCCATATAAAATCAAAAAGGAGAAACAGAAAAAAAATGAGCCTGTAAATGAACACAACTCAGAAACAAAAATAGCTATCTAAGAATAAAAAAATAAAATTTGATTCTTGTGCAGCTTCATCTATATCAATAACTGTTTTTGGTTTTTTAATGGTTTTTCTTGGTGATGAAAATTCCGATATCTCACGGTTATCGATTCTTTTTTCTCTCCAGAAATGCGGACGACAGTGTTTTTAGATACTCCTGTGGCTGCAGCAACACGATCATTTACATTTTTAAATGGTATTGAAGGTGAATTAAAGTTTCCTTCTCTTCTCATAAACTCTATAACATTGGCTATTATTTCGCGAGATTGACTGTTAATCACGCGGCCTCTTAATTTGCTATTAAACTCCATACGTAGGTTCTATTAAACTGTAATGAGCAAAAAACAAACGAAAATAAAAGAAATGTTTTAGCGAAATTTACATCTGACATTTACGTCTGAATGAAATAGTGAAATACTTGATGCACAGAGTGTACTTTCATTGCGTAAATCCGTCGGGATGCCTGTCAGTAGTGCTTTCTCTGTCTAGCCGTCGAAAGCCTCTAGAAATTTGATGAACTGTACTGTGCCAAAAGTTTAATTTTTTGCACTAGTGCAAAAAGTAGCTTACTTTTGTGCACTAGTGCAAAAAAGTAACTTATTTTTTGCACTAGTGCAAAAAACACTTCGAATTGTCAGTCAATTTTTTGGAAAAAAATAAAAAAAGAACACAGCGCCGGGAATCGAACCCGAACTTCTCCGGTGGGTGGTAAACATCTTAGCCGTTAGGCCATCATGGGTTTTAAAGAAACGTTTCGCAAACCAAAATATATACAGTCACTTTATTACTGGAATTTGTGATTAAATTTCAAAAAGTAGAAATATATATTTTATCTACCCTTTTGTTAATACCAAATTCGCTTGTTAGATAGGAATGAAATAAAATACAGAATTGAAAGATTTTTTGCTCTAATTTTAATTAATGCAAATATTTCTTAATTTTCATAGTTACCTATGAATTATTTTGTAAATACCCTGAACTGTCAGAATATTTTCGTGTTACATCCAGTTACATCTGGAGTGCGTTTAGAAACCCCGCACGGCGCGTCTGACCACATGCATTAGAATAGGGCTCAGACGCGTCGTGCGGGGTTTCTAAACGCACTCCTGCGTATTTGCCTCTGTGTGTGTCAAATTAATAGTTTAAAGATTTATTAAGTTGTAAAGTTATTAAAAATGTTCAGTTCGGATAGTGAGGAAGAAACTATCAGTTTCTGTACTCCTCCAGATTTAGTGGAAAGAGCTAATGAAGCAACGGCAGATTTACTACCCAATAAATCAAAAAAAATTTATGAAGTATGTTATAAACGGTTCACAGAATGGTGTGAGACTAAATCTGTTGGAAATATTTCAGAAAACGTAGTACTTGCATATTTAAAAGAAAAGTCGGAAATACTGAAGCCATCGACTTTGTGGTCAGAGTACTCAATGCTAAAGCAGGCTACACTTTTAATAAACAATAATGTGGAAATTCGAAATTTTCAAAAATTAATTCCTTTTTTAAAGAAGAAGTCGGTAGGGTATCGCCCCAAAAAGTCCAAAGTTTTTTCAAGAGAGCAACTTGATAAGTTTTTAGTTGAAGCTCCCGACAGTAAATATTTAATGATGAAGGTAAAATATAAAAATAATCTTTTTTTAACTTTATACGTAGGTGTTTGTTTCTTTTAGATAGTTGCAGTATTTGGGATTGAAGGAGCATGCCGCAGGGATGAGTTACAGAAACTTACTTTAAATGATATAAATAACATGAATTCTATCATAACAGTAAAAATTCCCGACAGCAAGACCAACAAACCTCGATCATTTGTAATAAGCGGACAAATTAGATCCTTTAATTTTGTGGAAATGTATCGCAAATATGCATCCCTCCGTCCCCAATCAACAAGCCACAATAGATTTTTTATTAGATACTATGAAAATGTTCCGTTCAACCTGTTGGTGTAAACACTTTTGGCAAAATCCCAAGTGATATTGCCAAATATTTAAATATTGAAAACCCAATGGAATACACGGGACACTGCTTTCGCAGATCTTCTGCAACCTTACTAGTAGAATCCGGCGCAGATATATTAACTTTGAAACGGCACGGAGGGTGGAAATCCTCAACTGTAGCTGAGGGCTACATTGAGGAGTCTATTTCTAAAAAAACAGAAATAGCTGCTCAAATTCTTGAAGGTCAACCAAGTATCAGCACCGGAAGCTTCACAATACGAAAAAGAGGTGTTTCAAATGAAGAGCCAGTCAAAAATGAAACCAAAATTCAAAGAATTCAAAATATTGCTGGAAATGAAGTTTTTCCGTCACTAAACATAATAAACTGCAATAACTGCGACATTAAAATTGAAATAAACTCAAAAAAGTAAAATAAGAGATTTTTTGTTGTACCTTTTGTAAAATATTCTAATAAAATTTGATATAAGAGTATATTTTATTTCGATCGTAGAAAACATATTGTGTGCAACACGTGCAAAAAGCATATTTGTTGCACTCAGCATGATTGCAGCTTGAGACGAAGTCGAAAGCTGCAAACTTCATGCTTCGTGCAACAAAGATACACTTTTTGCACTAGTTACACAAATAACTATTTTTAAACACAAAACTGTTTCTCATGTGTGCTTTTTTATCTTACATTTCACAAAAAAAAATATATTCTTGATAAAAAGTTCTGCATCACTAAGGGTCGATTCCACCGTTTTGTTAAACGGAGATTAAAATGATATTGTTAATGTAAAAATGTCATTTTAAACTTCGTTTAACCCAACGGTGGAATCAGTCCTTAGCCAGTTTTTCAATCACAGTTTTAACTTTCGTTCACCTGAACTTTGATCGAATATAGAACCGAGATTAATATCAATAGTGTTTTTCAATCATGTCAGTATCAAGGTTCAGGTGGATATAAGTTTAATGTATATTGGTAGTTCTGAATCGAGGAACTTCTGACAAAAATGAATGCTCTATGTCAGTTTGACGTTTTTATAAAACAATCATTAACAATGGCCTTGTTCATCGTCGTCAAACATGTTTTAAAAGGCAGAGAAACACGTTTCGTAAGCGGTTAATATGACACTGAACGATCATTTTGTTTACAATTTGTTTTCTCAACCTCAAACATATCAAAAAAATTGATTGGCATTTGGACACAGAAGGTTATGTGTATTGTTATTGTTTCTTATTTTTTAATAGGTTTTGAGTTGAATTAATTTGTAGAGTTAATTAGAGTTTATACAGTGAGCACCATAAGTCTTACCCCCCCTATCTAACTCGTTACTGCAGTCTTGTTAGGAAAATCGCCGAGACACGTCGATTTTTGATTTCTACAATGTATATTTTTGTATGAATAGTTTACCCTTTTTTTTTTCTCTCCTGGGCTCGTCTGACTACAGCCGTATGCATAGTCGATCGCCAGCGACTCGCCAGCGATTCGCTGGCGATCCGCCGGCTAAAGCCCAAAAAGCTGGCGACTCGCCGGAGATTGTCACCGGAATGTCATTTCACGCAAGTTTTCATGTTCTTTTATAGGGAAAAATTTGATATTCGTTAATTATTTTTTGAGTTTTAAGAAATAAATCATGAATAAAATGCGAGAGATACCGGTGATAATCCCTATAAAAGAAAATAAAAACTTGCGTGAAATGACAT